CATACAGTAATTGAAAAGCGTATTAATTTAAAATGTGATAAGGAAAAGTACACCGTCAGGTGATATATGCAGCAAGTAAAGCCAAGGTAGATATTTTTACATGTGAGAAACAGAATGAAAAAAAAAGGCAGTCTGGTGAATGAACATGCAAAACAAACACAACCAGATCAAAACATGAAAAAAAAACCCATCCAAAATATTAAAAAAAAAAAACTAGATCAAAACATGAATGTAGGTACTCCCCTACTCTATGCCAACAGTCAAGTATAAGCTACCCTAGCATTATATTACATAACAATGTGCGAAGAGCATTTTCATTCTCACATTACCTTGCTTACCTGGAGTTGACCCCCGGAACTCTCTCCAGGTAAACGCCCCCGCGGCCCGGTCTGTGACCAGGCCTCCTAACTATTCCTAACTCTTGTTCTACACTATCTTAAATTGTGACACCTATTTTTTTTTTTAACCCTTTCAGGGTTGCCAGGCCCTCTACGAGACTTGTTCTCAGGGTCGCCAAATTTTCAGGAAAAAAAAAAAAAAAAAAAATTCTTATGAAAAGATAGAGAATCTTTTCCCGATCATAATGACACCAAAAGTATGAAATTTGATGGAAAACTTACGGAATTATGCTCTCGGGAAGTTAGCAGTCTCCACGATGTTTATGCATTGGAGATTTTGCCCACTTTGAGCCCTATTTTCGGCCAATTACAGTGTACTAGTCGACAAAAATCATAACTATTTCGCTAGAACTACATTTTTTCTATCAAATGAGTACAAGAAACCACCCATTTACTGATTTCAACTATCCAATAAAGTGGTCAGAATTTAGCAATTTTGCCAATTTCACACAAATTTCAAAAGATGCCAATTTCCAAATAGGGTCCAAAATAAACAAGAAAGACATTCCTGGTACTAAAATAAAATTTCTTCTGTTCATTAGTCACATCCCCATGCCCCTCTTATATTGCTTTCCAATTTGAATTTTTATTCTCACAAAAAATAGAAGATTTACTGTTACGCAGACTACTGCATTAGTGTAGAAATGGTATAAATAATATCAGCGCACTTGTGAAAGAATATCAGACTCACCAGTTGACGTGTATTGGACACGTAGCATGATTTGTTTACTTTTGAACTTAGGTAAAAATCGAACATTTGTGCTACTTTGAGCTCAATTTCAAGGTATTTTTCATTGTAAAACCAGTCAAAATCATCTCAATTTCTGTAATGTCTTCCATTCTATAAAATGAGACCAGGAAAACTAGAATACAACAATAAATACCATACGAAAATACAGTGCAAAGTCGCTGTTTTAATCCAAAAACACAAAGTTTTTTTTGTCTCATTACGCACTGTGTGCTGCAGGATTTTTTTTATACTGCGCACACTGACCACATAGACCCATTCTTTCATATGCAGGCCTACCAGCTTTCTCTCACTAGATTTGAGGGTGCTAGAATTTAAGCGTACTAGTACGTCAAAAACCCTGGTGCGTAAGCCGTACTAGTACGTCCGAAACCCTGAAAGGGTTAAATTTAGCAACTATCTCATTTAGGTAGGGTGACCCAAACAATTAAATACATTCATCTAATTTTGTTTTTCAACAAGTCGGCCATCTCCCACCAAGGCAGGGTGACCCAAAAAGAAAAACTCCCTAAAAAGAAAATACTTTCATCATCATTCAACACTTTCACCTCACTCATACATAATCACTGTTTTTGCAGATGTGCCAAGATACAACAGTTTAGAAGCATTTATAAAGATGTATAACATATCCCTCCAAACTGCCAATATCCCAAACCCCTCCTATTAAGTGTAGGCACTGTACTTCCCATTTCCAGTACTCAAGTCCGGCTATATAAAAATACAGAGGAACCTCTACTTGCAAGTTTAATCTGTTCCATGACCTTGCTCGCAACTGGATTTGCTCGTTTGCAGAGTCAATTTTCATCATTTAAATTAACTGAAATGCAATTAATCTGTTCCAGTGGAATTCTGTACTTCAGTAATTTCGCTAATATCAACTATCTCACTTCATCTAATATGACATAATAAACAATATAAATAACATAGAAACCTGATATATACTCCAGAATGAATAAAATATGTCAGATGTGGCAGCCGACAAGAGTTTATCTGGAGACAGGACAAAATACTCCTTGAATATTTCGCTGTCATCAACTCTACAGCTTATTTATCTATCACAGTTCATCTAACATGAAATAATAAACAATATAGAAACCTGATATATGCTCTAGAATGAATAAAATATGTCATTATGTAACAGGTGGAGGCGGCCACAACCGCTCCCTCTTTGTTGTGGTAAACACTGGCATCTAGTGACAGCCTTTTGAAGCCGTCTATTGTTATAATTATTATTATGTTATACATTTTTTTTTTTTTAACAAACCGGCCGTATCCCACCAAGGCAGGGTGGCTCAAAAAGAAAAACGAAAGTTTCTCTTTTTAAATTTAGTAATTTATACAGGAGAAGGGGTTACTAGCCCCTTGCTCCCGGCATTTTAGTTGCCTCTTACAACACGCATGACTTATGGAGGAAGAATTCTGTTCCACTTCCCCATGCAGAATTATTATTATATATGTATTATTATTATTTTTTTTTTCAACAAACCGGCCGTATCCCACCAAGGCAGGGTGGCCCAAAAAGAAAAACGAAAGTTTCTCTTTTTAAATTTAGTAATTTATACAGGAGAAGGGGTTACTAGCCCCTTGCTCCTGGCATTTTAGTCGCCTCTTACAACACGCATGGCTTACGGAGGAAGAATTCTGTTCCACTTCCCCATGGAGAATGTATTAATTTTTTTTTTCAACAAGTCGGCTGCCTCCCACCAAGGAAGGGTGACCCAAAAAAGAAAGAAAATCCCCAAAAAGAAAATACTTTCATCATCATTCAACACTTTCACTCACTCACACATAATCACTGCTTTTGCAGAGGTGCTCAGAACACAACAGTTTAGAAGCATATATCTATAAAGATACACAACATATCCCTCCAAACTGCTAATATCCTGAACCCCTCCTTTAGAGTGCAGGCATTGTACTCCCATTTCCAGGATTCAAGTCCGGCTATATAAAAATAACCGGTTTCCCTGAATCCCTTCACTAAATATTACTCTGCTCACACTCCAACAGATCGTCAGGCCCCAAATACCATTCGTCTCCATTCACTCCTATCTAACACACACTCGCACGCTTGCTGGAAGTCCAAGCCCTCGCCCACAAAACCTCCTTTACCTCCTCCCTCCAACCTTTTTGAGGACGAACCCTACCCCTCCTTCCTTCCCCTACAGATTTATACACTCTCCATGTCATTCTACTTTGATCCATTCTCTCTAAATGACCAAACCACCTCAACAACCCCTCTTCAGCCCTCTGACTAATACTTTTATTAACTCCACACCTTCTCCTAATTTCCACACTCCAAATTTTCTGCATAATATTTACACCACACATTGCCCTTAGACAGGACATCTCCACTGCCTCCAGCCCCCCTCCTCGCTGCTGCATTCACAACCCAAGTTTCACACCCATAGAAGTGTATTGGTACTACTATACTTTCATACATTCCCTTCTTTGCCTTCATAGATAAAGTTTTTTGTCTCCACATATACCTCAAAGCACCACTCACCTTTTTTCCCTCATCAATTCTATGATTAACCTCATCCTTCATAAATCCATCCGCTGACACGTCAACTCCCAAGTATCTGAAAACATTCACTTCTTCCATACTCCCTCTCCCCAATGTGATATCCAATTTTTCTTTATCTAAATCATTTGATACCCTCATGATCTTACTCTTATCTATGTTCACTTTCAACTTTCTACCATTACATACCCTCATCTAAATTATTATTATTATTTTTGTTTTTTTATTATCACACTGGCCGATTCCCACCAAGGCAGGGTCCCGAAAAAAAAAAAAACTTTCACCATCATTCACTCCATCACTGTCTTGCCAGAAGGGTGCTTTACACTACAGTTTTTAAACTGCAACATTAACACCCCTCCTTCAGAGTGCAGGCACTGTACTTCCCATCTCCAGGACTCAAGTCCGGCCTGCCGGTTTCCCTGAACCCCTTCATAAATGTTACTTTGCTCACACTCCAACAGCAGTCAATATTAAAAACCATTTGTCTCCATTCACTCCTATCAAACACGCCCACGCATGCCTGCTGGAAGTCCAAGCCCCTTGCACACAAAACCTCCTTTACCCCCTCCCTCCAACTTTTCCTAGGCCGACCCCTACCACGCCTTCCTTCCACTACAGACTGATACACTCTTGAAGTTATTCTGTTTCGCTCCATTCTCTCCACATGTCTGAACCACCTCAACAACCCTTCCTCAGCCCTTTGGACAACAGTTTTGGTAATCCCGCACCTCCTCCTAACTTCCAAACTACGAATTCTCTGCATTATATTCACACCACACTTTGCTCTCAGACATGAGATCTCCACTGCCTCCAGCCTTCTCCTCGCTGCAACATTCATCACCCATGCTTCACACCCATATCAGAGCGTTGGTAAAACTATACTCTCATACATTCCCCTCTTTGCCTCCAAGGACAAAGTTCTTTGTCTCCACAGACTCCTAAGTGCACCACTCACCCTTTTCCCCTCATCAATTCTATGATTCACCTCATCTTTCATAGACCCATCCGCTGACATGTCCACTCCCAAATATCTGAATACATTCACCTCCTCCATACTCTCTCCCTCCAATCTGATATCCAAACTTTCATCACCTAATCTTTTTGTTATCCTCATAACCTTACTCTTTCCTGTATTCACTTTCAATTTTCTTCTTTTGTACAGTATATATTCATTGGGATGCATTTAACTCAGGGTCATACAGTGCCTGGGGAAGGGGAGGCACTCAGGTTTAACCCATGAAAGGGAAAGGTAGCTCCAATTCCTTGGATCAAGAGCTTTTCATTAGCCCCTAGGTACCTCCCTTGAACAGCATGACATAAAACTACTTACACAAAGACTCTTGTGGTGAAAAATTCGTGAGCTTGAGAAAAATATGGTGCAAATGCATTTCTGATGGCAAAGAAGGTGACCTCTAAACTTTCCACTGCAAGAGCTCCATAGTGTCCTACTGATGTACTTAGTCCAGGAAGTGAAGTCTCAACCTGAGAAAACAGAATACTTTTGATGTAATTTATATAAATGCTACTTTGATATAAAAACATATAGTATACACCAATTTATTGCAGTGAATATTGTTTTTCCTTATATTGTATTATAAGTGGAAAACTTCAAAACATTGCTTTAACATGTCACCTATTCCCACCAGATTAGGATGACCTCCCCCCCCTTCCCAAATGCATTCATCATACTAGCTACCTTTCCAGAGGGCACCAAACTCATCTAACTTTTAATGTGCAGGCAATGTATTTCCCATTTCTTACATACCTTCATACATATTACAATGCTGATACTCCAAAGCACATTAAATCCCAATGACCATTTGCTACCACTTACAATTAAAGAATACTTATACACATTTACGCTGGATGTGCAAGTTCATGTTTCCTCAATGTCCTTCACTCCGTCCTCCATCAACCCCAGATTTAAAATCGTCATCGACCTGTCCTGTCCCATTCTTTCTTCATAATCACACCATCTCAACTTCTCTACCTTTTGCATCATGCCATTCAAATTAATCTCTTAGACAAAACACCCATTCAGTATCTTCAACCTTTTTCTTGCTGCAACATTTGCATACCATATTTCACACTCTCCTAGGTAGTAGGTTGGTAGACAGCAACCGCCCAGGGCGGTACTACCGTCCTGCCAAGTGAGTATAAAACGAAAGCCTGTAATTATTTTACATGATGGTAGGATTGCTGGTGTCCTTTTTTCTGTCTCATAAACATGCAAGATTTCAGGTACGTCTTGCTACTTCTACTTACACTTAGGTCACACTACACATACATGTACAAGCATATATACACACACACCCCTCTGGGTTTTCTGCTATTTTCTTTCTAGTTCTTCTTCTTGTTTATTTCCTCTTATCTCCATGGGGAAGTGGAACAGAATTCTTCCTCCGTAAGCCATGCATGTTGTAAGAGGCAACTAAAATGCCGGGAGCAAGGGGCTAGTAACCCCTTCTCCCGTATAAATTACTAAATTTAAGAAGAGAAACTTTCGTTTTTCTTTTTGGGCCACCCTGCCTCGGTGGGATACGGCCGGTTTGTTGAAAAAAAAATATTCACACTCTTACATAAATGTTGGCACTGGTATACTGTGACACATTTCTCTTTTACATCCACTGATAAACTATTTTCTTTCTACATATCCCTTAATTCTGTAATTTTTAAACTTTAGTTTCCTTCATCAGTTTTCGGATTCAAAGACCTATTGTTGATACATCCATCCCAAAATAGCACCGTCACTTACAAGCTGCAATTGTGACATCCCTCACTTTATATCAAATTCATTAAATTTCAAGATACTTGCTTCTCTTGCAACCCATATCTGTAAAAACATTAAAAAACTATGCTGATTATCATACATCCTTGTGCAAGATGCACTTTTCTTTTCAAACATTTCTCTTTCTTGTCATGACCCTTGTCGGTTTAGCAGGACTCGAGTCCTGGAAATGGGAAGTACAATGCCTGCACTTTAAAGGAGGGGTTTGGGACATTGGGAGTTTGGAGGGACATCTAAACTGTCATATCTGAGCGCCTCTACAAAGATAGTGATTATGTATGAGTGATGGTGAAAGTGTTGAATGATGATGATTTTTTTCTTTCTTTTTGGATCACTCTGCCTTGGTGGGAAACGGGTGACATGTTAGAAAAAAATTCTCTTTCTTGTACACCATAACCTGAGCTTCACTGTCCTTATAAAGGCACTTTACAGCTTTCAACAATTCAACATCTACCATACATCTGCAACACCAGCCACATCCCTCATAGTCTGCCCTCTCAGATGTCTATTCCAAATTCAGCAATGCAACAGATCTTCTTATTATTTAATATCTGCTATATGATTTAATTAAAATATTAGATCTACATCATCATTTTCCTTCATAATCCACTTCAATCTTCTGCAACCTTTTTCTTTAAGTATTTCAGCTTTAATGCCTGCTATTTTTTCTATGTTCAACCTTCTCATTGCTTTATACTCACTTCTCTCTCTTCAAGAACTCATTCCTTTGTCCCATGCATGAAATTTGTGCCCATTCACATTCCATCTCCTTAAAAGGCTCCTATACTTCAGATTAATATGAAAATTTGTACCACACTTTCATCCTTAATCCTTGCTCTTATGGTTCCTGATACTTGTCTTTCTTATAAAATTTTTATCTACCAATATACAGTGGACCCCCGGTTAACGATATTTTTTAACTCCAGAAGTATGTTCAGGTGCCAGTACTGACCGAATTTGTTCCCATAAGGAATATTGTGAAGTAGATTAGTCCATTTCAGACCCCCAAACATACACGTACAAACGAACTTACATAAATACACTTACATAATTGGTCGGATTCGGAGGTGATCGTTATGCGGGGGTCCACTGTACTAAACTGAAGTTCTCTCTCTACCAAAAGCTACCACCTTTTTCTTATTTATACTGACTATCTTTTTCCATTTGAATGCTCTATCAAATACAATCATTAAAGCCTAAGTTGTTCTTTTACACCCATGAGATGAGTGTCACCAGCATATAACAACAGTCCTATCATTTTAAAAGGAAAAATTTTGGAAAGGGGAAAAATCCCCGAAAAAGGAGGGGGGGAAAAAGGGGGGGGGGGAAAAAATGAATGGGGGGAAAAGGGGGAAAATTTTTGAGGAAATTTTAAAGAAAAAGGATTTTTTTCTTTGTGGACATCTGGGTGGGAAGAGTTTACATTGAAAAATTTTTTGGTAAAAAAGTTACCCAAAGGGATTTAAGCTTTAAAAAAAAATTTTATGGGCCCAGAACCCTAAGGTTTTAAAATGTTAATTCAAAAGAAAAGGATTTCTTTTTTTAAAAGAATAAATTTAAAAAAATTTTGTTATTAATTTCCTTAAATTTTAAATTTTAAAACCTTTAAAAAATAGGGTGATTTTTTGAGGTTTTTTTTAATTTCTAAAATTAATTTTTTAAAAGGCAAAATCTTTGCTTTTAGAAAAAGGGTCCAATTAAAGGGGAAATTGAATGTCCATGTTTTTATGGTTTTAAAAGGTTAAATTTTTTTTAAAAATTTTAAAATTGGAAGGGTTGGAATTTTTTTCCGAAATTTTGGTCCCCAATAGGAATTTTTTGGATGTGAAGTAGTACCATTCACCCCCAACCCCAACCAAAAAAACACTAAAAGGGGGTTTCTCTTTTTTGGGGAGGAAAAGAATTTTAAAAAAAAAAACCATTTTTTAAAATTTATTGAACCTAAAAAAAAATAAATAAGGTTTTAAAAGAGTGGGTTCAAATAACAAAAAGGATTTAAACCTGCTTTTTAAAACCTTTTCTTTAAAGGGTTTTGGGATTAAGAATAAATTTGAAAAGTTAGAAAAAAAAGGGAATACAAAGGGTAAAACCCAGATGAAATGGAAATGGGGGAACATTAAGAGAGATAAATGTTTTTTAAGATTCTATTTTAAAAAGGGTATAGAATTTAAAAAAAGTTTTTCCAGGTGGAAAAAAGTTTTGCCTAAAACCAAGGAAGTAAGGGAATGTTTACAACATTTAAATGCTAATATTTTTGGCTAGAGTGGAAGGGAGAATGGAATGATTTAAAGAAAAATAAAAAAAAATTCTAAATTTTAAAAGAAAAGTTTCCAGGGAAAAAATTTTTAAAGGTAAAATTTAAATACTTAACAGAGAAAAAAAAATATTGTATGAGAAAAAGTTTGGGGGCCCAAAAGGGTTTTAGGAAGGGAAAAGGGGTTTTTTCAAGGGCAAATTTTGGGTCCATTTTAGAAAATAGAAAATTTTTAAGGAAATTTTTTAAATTTACCAAATTAAAAAATTTAAAAGATAAAAAAAGGGGGGGTTTTGTAAAGAATTTAATAAATTTTGAAGATTTTTAATTTATTTAAAAATAGGAAAGAAACTGCAAAGCTTTGGAACAAAGGGGAAAGTTTTTTTTGGGGACCCCTTTTGCTTTTTTTAATTTTAAAAAATTTAAAATTTTCCCATCCAGGGGGTGACCCCCCAAAAAGAGAACACACCATCATGCCAGAACTGTGTTAACATCACAGTTCAGATGACCCTCTAAATTGCAACATCCCCACCCCTTCTTAAGAGTGCAGGCATTGTATTGCCCACCTCCAGGATTCACGCCTGGCTCACCGATACTGCATATATCTCCGGCACGTCACTTCCTCAAAATACCAAACACCATGGTTCTAGCAAGATAGACCTACATGCACTTCTGACCCACAATCACCATCATGACAGTTCATTTAGACCAAAAGCCACTCCTGTATGAAGCTAAGTTTACTGCCTCACTGCAACTTTGGTGCCATTTCAAAGGTGTCAACCTGTGTGACATAACAGGATTTCACTGCATCTAGGTCACAAGATTAGCATGTAAGTTGTGGTATAAATGGTTGGAGGACTGAGCCTCCACCATTCCATGTGCTAAACAGCCTAAATAGATTTAGTGCTTCATGTAATAATAATAATGACCTCATTAATAGCCCAAATTGGAAACTTTTCTCACTGTGGGAATGTATCACTTCACCCAACAGCCTAATCACTTAATCTACACCCATCCCCCAAGACTGATGCCACTCACTATTGACATCCCATGACAGGATTCCACTACTTCCTAATTAGTAGCCACAGCTGGGAGCTCATCACACTGAGGGAACACCATCTCACTTGGTAGTTGCCTTATGCATCACATCACATCACCCATCTTCACCTGACCTTCCAGATTATATTTTTGTAACAAAACTTCCTCTTCAAGGGGTGCTCCTTGGCATGGTGAAGAGACTCTTGGTCTGAGGAATTAGATCTTTTGGTCTCCTTCCTCAGACCGAACCTAATTACCCCCCCAATCCTCCCTTCACTATCCCATCCCCCCTTTCCCTTTTCTCCTCCTCTCCCCCCCATCCTCTTCCTGTGTTCAGCCTTTGGGATTCTTCCCACAGCCACTCTAGTGCCTAGGTAGGGGGAAGGGTACCGTGGTCCATCCCATTCCGTTGAGGTCTGGGGTGGTGGTGTAGTCTGCTGTGGAATCTGAATCACCTGGGGATGTCCCACTCCCTCTCTGGACTCCCGGGAGATGGCTTTGGGTGTCTTTCGGGTGACGGGTGTATCTCCAGAAGCTGCCTTTCAGATTCCAGGGGGTAATGGCCGAAAGAGGTATGCTTTGTGGCGGGTATTCGGTTGCCCTCTCTTGTCCACAAAGGTGGCTCGGTAGATGTGACAAATGCTATCCCAGACTGCTGGTTTACTGGCATGAAGGGTAGGGTATGGTACAGGTTTCATGCCGCATCTGCATTACTTGCGGTGCTGGGGTCCTCTTGAGTGTAGAGGGGGATTTACAGCCCTTTCATTCCTCCTAGGAGCTATCCCTCCATATTCACCCCTCTTTTATTCATTTTTCTTTTTTTTCTAAAAAAAAAAAAAAAAAAAAAGAAAGAAGTGACATAACTATGGAGTCCCAAATCCATGAAACAGCTGCCCCGGGCACCTTTCTGCTACCACACCTTGTTCCGACCCTACCTCATTATTTGACCACTCTTCAGACATTTCTACTGCCCCTGTACCTACTGCTGGTACTGTTTTGTCACCCGCTCCAGGTACGAGGGTTCCGCCTGACTCCTTTGATACATCTGACCTCCGCACTTCTTTGACCATGCTTCCAGCTTCTCTCTCTATGGTGCGGCGGTTTTTGGATCACAGGCTACAGCATTTACATCAGTCACCCCTTGCTGTCCTCTTATGGCTCTAATCTTATTTGGTCGCAAGGAGTTCTTCCCCAGCTGTGGAAACCTGCCATTGTTCTCCCTTTCCACAAACCGGGTACTACGGGACATGATGCCTCCCACTATCGTACCATTGCTCTTAACCAGTGCAGTTTGCAAGGTGATGGAACGTCTGGTAAATAGATGTTTGATGTGGTATTTAGACACAGCAGTCTCTCCACTAGTCAATATGGCTTTCGTAAGGGCTCTTCTATCATTGGCCCCTTGCTATGCTTGGATACGTATGTTCATAATGCCTTCGCCAACAACTATTCAGTTACTGCTATATTTTTTGACCTTGAGAAGGCATATGACACAACTTGGAGATATAACATCCTGGCCCAGGCCTGGCTCCAAGGCAACTGCCATTTTTCCTTAAGAACTTCTTAACTGTGAGACATTTCCGTGTTTGGGTTAATGATATGCTTTCCCGGACTTTGTCCAAGCTCTAAATGATCTGGTATCTATTCTTCTATCTAATATTTGGTCATCACTCTATGTTGATGACTTTGCTGTAGCTTGTGCAGGCACTAACTGTCACCTCATTGCAGTTTCTCTCCAGCATGCGGTCAACCGTGTTTCCAATTGGGCCACTTACTCATGGGTTTAAATTTTCTAGTACTAAAACTCACCAAATTACTTACACTAGATGTTCTGTTGTCTCTGATAAATTGTACCTATATGGCTCGCTTATCCCAGAACGTGATACGATCAGGTTTCTCGGCCTTCTGTTTGACCGTCAGTTATCCTGGAAACCTCACATTACCTTTCTGAAGGCAACTTGTCATAGCCAGCTGAACCTCCTAAAACCCATGCTCATCTTTCACGTGGGGGCTGATTGTAGAACTCTCCTTCGACTACATTCAGCCCTAATTTTATCGAAATTTGATTATGGCGACCAGATATATTCAGCGGCCTTTCCTGCAACTCTTTTTAGCCTTGATTCCACCCATCACCAGGGATTGCATTTATGCCTTGGTGCTTTTCACTCATCATCAGTTGTGAGCCTCCATGCAGAGGCAAATATTCTGTCCTTGAACGATCGCCGTGATGCCCATCACCTTCGCTATTATGTTCGCTCTCATGGCCTCCACAATCCTTCCATATATACAGTGATACCCTGAGTTTCAGCCATAATTCATTCCAGAAGGCTGTTTGAGTGCCGTTACCGAATGAATTTGTTCCCATAAGGAATAATGTAAATTAGATTAGTCAGTTTCAGACACCCCGAAAATACACTTATAAAAGCACTTACAATAATACACTTACATAATTGTTCAAGTTGGGAGCTGTACGAAACTGTATAGGATAGTCGCTGATGTTAGTAGACGGTCTTTGTTTGTTTGTCGCCCTTGTTTACTCCGTCCCTCTTCTCTTCGCCTACATTCACTCTTCTCTTCAGTTATCGCTTTTATATGTTCAGAAAGCATCTCGCTTTTCCCTCCCCCTTGGGAAGTTCCGATGGTTTGTGTCTATTCTTTCCCGTTGCCATGCATGAAAGCCCAACTGCCTACAGTGGCTTCTAGTTCTTTTTCTTAACCACTTCCGATCTCATTCTCATGTATCGCAATGTACACTGATAGTTCCAAGTCTTCTGACAGCGTCGGATTCCAGCAGTGTGTCCGGACAGCATTGTGCGAGGGAATTTATTATCCTCGGCTAGCATTTTTATGGCTGAATTGTATGCCATTCTTGTAGCACTTATCCATATTGCATCTATGCCTGTGTCACCATCTGTGGTTATTTCAGACTCCTTTAGTGCGTTACAGGCTATAAGAATATTTGATACACCTCATCCCCTGGTTCTTTGTATCCAACTTTGGTTGTGCTGTATCTCTAGCAAGCACAAAGATAGTGATTTTTGTTAGGTCCCCGGTCATGCTGACATACTGGGCAATGAACAGGCAGACACTCCTGCTCAGTCAGCAGTACATGCCTTCCAGTTTCATATAGAGGTGTTTCATTCACTGACTATTTTGCTGTAACTGCTACCCACCTTTGCACCCATTGGTCTGATCTGCTACATAACAAATTGCAGTCTATTAAACCAAGTATAGGTTTCTGTCCATCTTGTCATCATGTCGAGGTTGGGAAACTACTCTCTCCTGTCTTTGCATCAGCCACACTCGTCTTACTCAGGGGTATCTCATGGAGAGGTGCCCTGTTCCACTCTGTGAGAATTGTCAGGTTCCAGTTTCTGTTAGCTATATTCTGTTGGACTGCCCACTCTATCAATGAGCACGCAAAATTTACCTTCAACGTTGTCACCGGCTCTACTACCCTTACTTTACCTTCCTTTATTAATGATGGACCCTCCTTTAACTCAGACTCTCTCATTGACTTTTTGACAGCAACTAATTTACTGCACAAACTCTGAAGGTGATGATGCCTCTAGCACTCCTCACAGCCCTTTCTACCTCAATCTCTTGCTACCCACTACCCTTGCACTATCCACTGCCCCACTGCACTCCATGACCTAATAATAATACCCTCTCCCTCTTACTACCCAATAACCCTGCACCCCTCCCAGCCTTGCTGCGCTGTATGACCCTTGTAGGTTTAGTGCCTCTTTTTAATTATAATAATAATAATGTAACAAAACTTTTGAAGACTACAAGAATCTCCATTTGCCACTTACTACACCCACACCAAAATGGTGACCCAGAGATGAATCTGCCCAGTCTCTTCCTCTCATTATTGCACAACCACTTAATGATGGCCTTGTGGAATCGTAATAACACAATTGCAAATAAACTACGGTTTAGGTGGGGGGTTAGAACTAATGGCAAGTGAGTTGTAAAACTCCAGGCCAGTGCATAAGCCACTGGGCCAGCTGGCTACAATAAGATTCATCCAACTATGTATATTTATACACAATACGGAGGTTAGCATGGGCCCCAGTGTGACCACAAATGCAAGTTTTTACAGATGAATCTCCTGCCAGCATGGCCTTGACAAACTCTAGCTTATGTCCCCTCAAAGCTGTCGTGATGACTCACGAAATCGTAATAACATGACTGCAAACAAATCACAGTATGGGTGGGGTTAGAACTCATGGCTACCCTTGACCATCATGATGGAAAGATGATGGGTTTGCAGACAAGATCAAGCATATGAGACATACAATACTTAAAATTAAATTTTTAAGTTTTTTCTATACATGAAGAGGGTAGAAAATAGAATTGCATGGAGAATTTACAGAAGACTAGTATAAGAAGTTAGACTGATAGGAGAGAGAGAGGTAAACAACCTATATCCTGGAAATGGTGAAAACAGAACAGGTCAGAAGAGACTAATTCTACAGAACAATTGACTGGAATTTGTTCTGAAAATTCCCTCTGAAAAGAGTTCCAACATAAAATATGGGATCAAACATGATTGATAAAATAAATAAATAATAAAAAAAAAAAACTTACCATAAAATGATCCTGCACTTTTTATATCCCAGATGATGGCCGTCACAAAGAGTATTCCCAAAAGCTTCATCACACGAGGAAGGGGAGATTTGCCCTTCACTGTCTTCATTTGGTTCAGCAATGTCTGTAGAAGAGACACTCATATCTTCATAGGCAATTATTAATTATATTTAAAATCATGGAAGCGCAAATTAGTCTCAACATCATGTAAACTAAATGTAATATAAATCTTAGCTACCTTCTTTCTAGCATTACATTGCCTATGTTTCTTCCTTTACAACATTTATCTGCTCTATCCTGTAATTTTTTAACATATCGGTCATCTCCCACCAAGGGTGACCTGAACAAAGTTTTTTTATTTTTCCAAATTAATAACATGAAGGGAGATGCCTCGTTATTACCCTTGCTCCGACATGTTTAGACCCCTTTTACAACATAATGGCATTATAATGAAGATTTTACCATTCCATGGAGATGAAATACCAACTTACCACTAGGGAAAAATTGGCCTGCGTTAACCTCTCGCTTACATGGCTAGGTTCCTGGTTCGATTTCCAGCAAGTAGATACATTGAAGTGTTTTTTCACACCGTTGTCTATGTTCCCATCATAAAATGGGACCTGAAAGTTTTCCTTTCGATAATAATTTCTACTGGAGAATGAGCTTAAGAGGCCTTGTCACAACCGGGCCCGGTTCGTTGACCCCCGGATCTTCCAAGAAAACATCCAATGCATAATCTTGTAAAACAATTACAGTTATTTCACTTATTTGGATGTAAACATCAGTTTTCCTGGTTTACTTTTTGCCAACCTATAATCCTACCTGTGCTTCATATCATACTAACAAAACAATTAATCCTTATTATCTTTACAAAAACAATAAATTATTCTAATAAATCTCTATTTCAAACAGCTCACATTTGATTTGTTCAATCTTTGTTGAACTTAATTATTTTAGTATGCTCTAGTTTACAAACCCCTTCATAACACTCAAATAGCCTCATACAAGTACTGCAAACTCAAAAGTTTCATTTAGAACAATACTAATTTTTGGTATCTTTTCCAATCAGTATTATGCACTTCAAGTATTATACAGTATAGTAGATACCTTCTGTTAACCCTTTGAGGGTTCGTCCTGTAGTTCTACAGCTTTGAAGCCTGGGTCCAAGCTGTAGTTATATGCCATGAGCTCAGCTCACTTAGATAAGCTGTGAGTGGTAAATTTGGACCTAGATATGAGAGAATGCATCTATGTGGTAAGTGTGCACCATATAAAACAAATCCTGCAACACGCACGTGCATAATGAGAGAAAAAAACGAGACCATATTTTTTTTTATTAAAACAGCAACTTTGCGGAGTAGTACTTTCGCATGATTTTTATGGTTGTATTCACAGTTTCTTGGTTTCAATTGATAGAATGGAAACTATATTACAGAAATAGATGATTTTGATTGGTTTTAGTACTGAAAATGGCTTGAAACTGAGCTCAAAGTAGCAGAAATGTTAGATTTTTGCCGATGTTCAAGAGTAAACAAATGACATCATGCATCCAATACACGTCATCTGGTGGGTCTAAAGCACATTCACAAATGTGCTGATATTATTTATACAATTATTACAATATTGCTTAACAGTAAATTTTCTATTTTTTGGTGTGAATAAAAAAAATCAAAGTGGAATTCATTTGTAAAGCCTGGAAACATAACTAATAAACAGAGGAAATGTTATTTTAGTGCCAGGAATGCCTGCATTGTTTATTCTGGACTCTATGTTGAAATCGGAATATTACGAACTTTGTGTGAAATTGGCCAAATTACTGATTTCCAATCACTTTATTAGGTAGTGGAAATAGTTGATTGGGCAATTTCTTGTGCTCAATCGATAAAACAGAAGTAATACTAATGAAATAGCTAAGAAATTGGTCAACTGGAATAATATAATTGGCCTAAAATGGGAGTCAAAGTGGGCAAAATCGTCGATGGGTAAATATTGCCGATGCAGCAAAATTCGCGAGAGTGTAATTTCATCAATTTTCCATCAAATTTTGTACTTTTTATTTTATTACCTTCAGAAAAAGCTTCTCTATCATTTCATAAGAAAAAGTAACATTTTTTTTTTTTAATTCTTGGACCCTGTGGACAAGTTTCAGATCAGGGGTCTGGACCCTGAAAGGGTTAAATAGCCATATTTTAGTAATCTGCACTGTAAAAACGTAATTTTTTTTTTTTAACATGCCAGATGTCTCCCACCGAGGCAGGGTGGCCCAATAAAAGAAAGAAAACAAAATGTAATAAAATGCAATACCCTCCAGAAATGGGAAAAATGATTAACAAAACCTTTGCAAAATTGATAAGGTTTCTTCTCCAGTGCTATGGGAAAATGAAAGGAAAAATGTAAGGCTCTCAGTTAACTTTGGTCAAGGCTCAGAGTAATGCCTTAACACAATATAGAACATTTCCAATATTTATAACTAAGAAGAAATGGGACAAGCCAGGCGACCCTACTACAGTACAGGAATGAGGTTAAAGCCAACATATCTGCATTAGGTAGTAGGTTGGTAAACAGCAACCACCCAGGGAAGTACTACCGTCCTGCCAGATGACTGTGAAACAGAAACCTGTAACTGTTTTGCATGATGGTAGGATTGCTGGTTTCTTTTTCTGTCTCATAAACAGGCTAGATAACAGGAATATCTTGATACTCCTACTTACACTTTGGTCACACTTCACAGACACGCACATGCATATATATATACATACATCTAGGTTATTTTCATATAGTCGGACTTGAGTCCTGGAAATGGGAAGTACAATGCCTGCACTTTAAAGGAGTGGTTTGGGATATTGGCAGTTTGGAGGGATATGTTGTGTATCTTTATATGTATATGCTTCTAAACTGTTGTATTCTGAGCACCTCTGCAAAAGCAGTGATAATGTGTGAGTGTGGTGAAAGTGTTGAATGATGATGAAAGTATTTTCTTTTTGGGGATTTTCTTTCTTTTTTGGGTCACCCTGCCTCGGTGGGAGACGACCGACTTGTTGAAAAAAAAAAAAAAAAAAAAAAAATCTAGGTTTTTCTCCTTTTTCTAAATAGCTCTTGAACTTCTTTATTTCTTCTATTGTCCATGGGGAAGTGGAAAAGAATCTTTCCTCCGTAAGCCATGCGTGTCGTATGAGGCGACTAAAATGCCGGGAGCAATGGGCTAGTAACCCCTTCTCCTGTAGACATTTACTAAAAAAGAGAAGAAGAAAAACTTTATAAAACTGGGATGCTTGAATGTGCGTGGATGTAGTGCGGATGACAAGAAACAGATGATTGCTGATGTTATGAATGAAAAGAAGTTGGATGTCCTGGCCCTAAGCAAAACAAAGCTGAAGGGGGTAGGGGAGTTTCAGTGGGGGGAAATAAATGGGATTAAATCTGGAGTATCTGAGAGAGTTAGAGCAAAGGAAGGGGTAGCAGTAATGTTGAAGGATCAGTTATGGAAGGAGAAAAGAGAATATGAATGTGTAAATTCAAGAATTATGTGGCTTAAAGTAAAGGTTGGATGCGAAAAGTGGGTCATAATAAGCGTGTATGCACTTGGAGAAGAGAGGAATGTAGAGGAGAGAGAGAGATTTTGGGAGATGTTAAATGAATGTACAGGAGCCTTTGAACCAAGTGAGAGAGTAATTGTGGTAGGGGACCTGAATGCTAAAGTAGGAGAAACTTTTAGAGAGGGTGTGGTAGGTAAGTTTGGGGTGCCAGGTGTAAATGATAATGGGAGCCCTTTGATTGAACTTTGTATAGAAAGGGGTTTAGTCATAGGTAATACATATTTTAAGAAAAAGAGGATAAATAAGTATACAAGATATGATGTAGGGTGAAATGACAGTAGTTTGTTGGATTATGTATTGGTAGATAAAAGACTGTTGAGTAGACTTCAGGATGTACATGCTTATAGAGGGGCCACAGATATATCAGATAACTTTCTAGTTGTAGCTACACTGAGAGTAAAAGGTAGATGGGATACAAGGAGAATAGAAGCATCAGGGAAGAGAGAGGTGAAGGTTTATAAACTAAAAGAGGAGGTAGTTAGGGTAAGATATAAACAGCTATTGGAGGATAAATGGGTTAATGAGAGCATAGGCAATGGGGTCGAAGAGGTATGGGTAGGTTTAAAAATGTAGTGTTAGAGTGTTCAGCAGAAGTTTGTGGTTACAGGAAAGTGGGTGTGGGAAGGAAGAGGAGCAATTGGTGGAATGATGATGTAAAGAGAGTAGTAAGGGAGAAAAAGTTAGCATATGAGAAGTTTTTACAAAGTAGAAGTGATGCAAGGAGGGAAGAGTATATGGAGAAAAAGAGAGAGGTTAAGAGAGTGGTGAAGCAATGTAAAAAGAGAGCAAATGAGAGAGTGGGTGAGATGTTATCAACAAATTTTGTTGAAAATAAGAAAAGTTTTGGAGTGAGATTGAACAAGTTAATGGAAGCCTAGAGAACAAATGGATTTGTCAAGTTAAAAATAGGAGAGGAGAGTTATTAAATGGAGAGTTAGAGGTATTGGGAGATGGAGGGAATTTTGAGGAATTGTTAAATGTTGATGAAGATAGGGAAGCTGTGATTTCGTGTATAGGGCAAGGAGGAATAACATCTTGTAGGAGTGAGGAAGGGCCAGTTGTGAGTGTGGGGGAAGTTCGTGAGGCAGTAGGTAAAATGAAAGGGGATAAGGCAGCCGGGATTGATGGGATAAAGATAGAAATGTTAAAAGCAGGTGAGGATATAGTTTTGGTAGTGGTTGGTGCAATTATTTAATAAATGTATGGAAGAGGGTAAGGTACCTAGGGATTGGCAGAGAGGCATGCATAGTTCCTTTGTATAAGGCAAAGGGGACAAAAGAGAGTGCAAAAATTATAGGGGATAAGTCTGTTGAGTATACCTGGTAAAGTGTATGGTAGAGTTATTATTGAAAGAATTAAGAGTAAGACAGAGAATAGGATAGCAGATGAACAAGGAGGCTTTAGGAAAGGTAGGGGGTGTGTGGACCAGGTGTTTACAGTGAAACATATAAGTGAACAGTATTTAGATAAGGCTAAAGAGGTCTTTGTGGCATTCATGGATTTGGAAAAGGCGTATGACAGTGTGGATAGGGGGACAATGTGGCAGATGTTGCAGGTGTATGGTGTAGGAGGTAGGTTACTGAAAGCAGTGAAGAGTTTTTACAAGGATAGTGAGGCTCAAGTTAAGAGTATGTAGGAAAGAGGGAAATTATTTCCCAGTAAAAGTAGGCCTTAGACAAGGATGTGTGATGTCACCGTGGTTGTTTAATATATTTATAGATGGGGTTGTAAGAGAAGTAAATGCGAGGGTCTTGGCAAGAGGCGTGGAGTTAAAAGATAAAGAATCACACAAAGTGGGAGTTGTCACAGCTGCTCTTTGCTGATGACACTGTGCTCTTGGGAGATTGTGAAGAGAAGTTGCAGAGATTGGTGGATGAATTTGGTAGGGTATGCAAAAGAAGAAAATTAAAAGTGAATACAGGAAAGAGTAAGGTTATGAGGATAACAAAAAGATTAGGTTATGAAAGATTGGATATGAGATTGGAGGGAGAGAGTATGGAGGAGGTGAATGTATTCAGATATTTGGGAGTGGACGTGTCAGCGGATGGGTCTGTGAAAGATGAGGTGAATCATAGAACTGATGAGGGGAAAAGGGTGAGTGGTGCACTAGGAGTCTGTGGAGACAAAGAACTTTGTCCCGGAGCAAAGAGGGGAATGTATGAGAGTATAGTTTTAACCAACGCTCTATATGGGTGTGAAGCATGGGTGATGAATGTTGCAGCGAGGAGAAGGCTGGAGGCAGTGGAGATGTCATGTCTGAGGGCAATGTGTGGTGTGAATATAATGCAGAGAATTCGTAGTTTGGAAGTTAGGAGGAGGTGCGGGACTACCAAAACTGTTGTCCAGAGGGCTGAGGAAGGGTTGTTGAGGTGGTTCGGACATGTAGAGAGAATGGAGCGAAACAGAATGACTTCAAGAGTGTATCAGTCTGTAGTGGAAGGAAGGCAGGGTAGGGGTCGGCCTAGGAAAGGTTAGAGGGAGGGGGTAAAGGAGGTTGTGTGTGCGAGGGGCTTGGACTTCCAGCAGGCATGCGTGAGCGTGTTTGATAGGAGTGAATGGAGACAAATGGTTTTTAACCCTTTGAGGGTTTTCGTCGTACTAGTACGTCTTACGCGTAGGGGTTTTTGACGTACTAGTACTCATAAATTCTAGTGGCCTCAAATCTAGTGGAGAAAGCTGGTAGGGCCTTCATATGAAAGAATGGGTCTATGTGGTCAGTGTGCACAGTCTAAAAAAAATCCTGCAGCACACAGTGCATAATGAGAAAAAAAAAACTTTGACCATTTTTTTTGAATAAATCAGCGACTTTGCAGTGTATTTTCGTATTGTATTTATTGTTGTATTCTAGTTTTCTTGGTCTCATTTTATAGAATGGAAGACATATTACAGAAATAGAGATGATTTTGACTGGTTTTACAAAGAAAGGTGCCTTGAAATTGAGCTCAAAGTAGCAGAAATGTTCAATTTTTACCAAACTTCAAAAGTAAACAAATCGTGCCAAGCGTGCAATACACGTCAACTGGTGAGTCTAATATTCTTTCACAAGTGCACCAATAATATTTATACCATTTTTTACACTATGCAGTAGTCTGCATAACAGTAAATCTTATATTTTTTGTGAAAATAAAAATTCAAAGTGGAAAGCAAAAGAATATAAGAGGGGCCTTGAGACGTGAATAATGACTAGAGGAAATGTCATTTTAGTGCCAGGAATGTCTTTCTTGTTTATTCTGGACCCTATTTGGAAATTGGCATCTTTTGAAATTTGTGTGAAATTGGCAAAATTGCTAAATTCTGACCACTGTACTGGATAGTTGAATTTCATAAATGAGTGGTTTCTTGCACCCATTCGATAGAAAAAATGGAGTTTCTAGCGAAATATTCATGTTTTTTGTCGACTAGGACAGTGAAATTGGCCGAAAATGGGGCTCAAAGTGGGCAAAATCGCCGATGCGTAAACATCGCCGAGACCGCTAACTTTGCGAGAGCATAATTCCGTAAGTTTTCTATCAAATTTCAAACTTTTGGTGTCTTTATGATCGGGAAAAGATTCTCTATCTTTTCATAAGAAAAAATAATTTTTTTTTTTTAAATTTGGCCGACCCTGAGAACGAGTTTCGGAGAGGGCCTGTCGACCCTCAAAGGGTTAATACTTGACGTGCTGTTGGAGTGTGAGCAAAGTAACATTTATGAAGGGGTTCAGGGAAACCTGCAGGCCGGACTTGAGTCCTGGAGATGGGAAGTACAGTGCCTGCACTCTGAAGGAGGGGTGTTAATGTTGCAGTTTAAAAACTGTAGTGTAAAGCACCCTTCTGGCAAGACAGTGATGGAGTGAATGATGGTGAAAGTTTTTCTTTTTCGGGCCACCCTGCCTTGGTGGGAATCGGCCAGTGTGATAATAATATAATAAAAAATCTGCATTATCATACAAGTAACTTACATTTGTTGCTTCCTTAGCTTCTGAGACTCCTGCCAGGGCACGAGCTTTGCGAGGCATCTGTGCGTTGGATTCAGCAAACCGCTGAATTGTATCCTTTACTTCTTTTCTCTGTACTCGTAAAGACTGACTAAGAATCTTCCATTCTCTACCTGTGAAATTATTTTGGTCAAACTTACAGCCAAACATTTATTATATAGTATTCAATGTAATTATAGCATCCTAATACAAATTCATGTAAAATAATTGAATAAAAAATATTTAATAAGCACCTGACAATTTCACCATGATGTGAAAGCGCATGATTAAAATTCACTACTACCAGTATCATTGTCATATCACATGACTTTCTCAGTCAGAATGAACAGACAAGCATTTCATATAATTAAAACCTGGTTACTGTCCAAGTGAACCTGTCTTCCAAGTGTTATCTGGGAGATTACCACTGCTCTGTTGAAATTAATTTTCACCTTTGGTAAATCTGAGCTTAATTAAAGGTCAGGTCTTTATGTGCCTTAGAGAAGTTTATCATCTTTGCTCATTCCATCTGAAGAGGCACTGACACTGATCCTTGTCAAAAAGTTTTTCCTCCTTTTTTAATAATTTTAATGACACTGATTATGCTAGTTAAGCATTCTTAACAATAAATTAACCGATCTTATTAACTTAACAATAAATTAACCAATATTATTAATCATTACATTATCTCTCCAGATTTTATACCCTTATAGTCTTGTAGCCTGGTCTGAGGCCTGGATTCCCTGTGCTTCCCTGATTACCCAGTTGTAGATACAATACTTGCACTCTTAGCCATTGCACTGGCTGTGCCATAGTATGTGACGAGCTCAGCTCACTCAGATAAGCTGTGAGCACTAAATTTGGGCCTAGATATGAGAAAATGGGTTGATGTGGTAAATGAGCAAGCACCATATATAAATAACACTGTAGCATGCAGTGCATGAGGTAAAAAATATGCAACTATATTTGGTTTAAAACAGCAACTCCGCGGTGTATTTTCATTTGGTTTTTATGGTTGTATTCTCTATTTTTTGGTCTCATTTGACAGAATGGAAGATATATACAGAAACAGATATGATTTTGATTAATTTTAGGAATGAAAATAGCTTGAAATTGAGCTCAAAGTAGTGGAAATGTTCGATTTTTGCGATGTTCAAGAGTAAACAAATCACATTATGTGTCCAATACACATTGAAGTGGTGGGTCTAATATGCGTTCACAAATGTGCTATTATTTATATTTTATTTTTTTTTATTATCACACTGGCCGATTCCCACCAAGGCAGGGTGGCCCGAAAAAGAAAAACTTTCACCGTCATTCACTCCATCACACCACACATTGCCCTCAGACATGACATCTCCACTGCCTCCAGCCTTCTCCTCGCTGCAACATTCATCACCCATGCTTCACACCCATATCAGAGCGTTGGTAAAACTATACTCTCATACATTCCCCTCTTTGCCTCCAATGACAAAGTTCTTTGTCTCCACAGACTCCTAAGTGCACCACTCACCCTTTTCCCCTCATCAATTCTATGATTCACCTCATCTTTCATAGACCCATCCGCTGACACGTCCACTCCCAAATATCTGAATACATTCACCTCCTCCATACTCTCTCCCTCCAATCTGATATCCAATCTTTCATCACCTAATCTTTTTATCCTCATAACCTTACTCTTTCCTGTATTCACTTTTAATTTTCTTCTTTTGCATACCCTACCAAATTCATCCACCAATCTCTGCAACTTCTCTTCAGAATCTCCTAAGAGCACAGTGTCATCAGCAAAGAGCAGCTGTGACAACTCCCACTTTATGTGTGATTCTTTATATTTTAACTCCACGCCTCTTGCCAAGACCCTCGCATTTACTTCTCTTACAACCCCATCTATAAATATATTAAACAACCACGGTGACATCACACATCCTTGTCTAAGGCCTACTTTTAACTGGGAAATAATTTCCCTCTTTCCTACATACTTCTAACTTGAGCCTCACTATCCTCGAAAAAACTCTTCACTGCTTTCAGTAACCTACCTCCTACACCATACACCTGCAACATCTGCCACATTGCCCCCCTATCCACCCTGTCATATGCCTTTTCCAAATCCATAAATGCCACAAAGACCTCTTAGCCTTATCTAAATACTGTTCACTTATATGTTATCACTGTAAACACCTGGTCCACACACCCCCTACCTTTCCTAAAGCCTCCTTGTTCATCTGCTATCCTATTCTCTGTCTTACTCTTAATTCTTTCAATAATAACTCTACCATACACTTTACCAGGTATACTCAACAGACTTATTCCCCTATAATTTTTGCACTCTCTTTGTCCCCTTTGCCTTATACAAAGGAACTATGCATGCTCTCTGCCAATCCCTAGGTACCTTACCCTCTTCCATACATTTACTAAATAATTGCACCAACCACTCCAAAAACTATATCCCCACCTGCTTTTAACATTTCTATCTTTATCCCATCAATCCCAGCTGCCTTATCCCCTTTCATTTTACCTACTCGCTCACGAACTTTCCCCACACTCACAACTGGCTCTTCCTCACTCCTACAAGATGTTATTCCTCCTTGCCCTATACACGAAATCACAGCTTCCCTATCTTCAACAACATTTAACAATTCCTCAAAATATTCCCTCCATCTTCCCAATACCTCTAACTCTCCATTTAATAACTCTCCTCTCCTATTTTTAACTGACAAATCCATTTGTTCTCTAGGCTTCCTTAACTTGTTAATCTCACTCCAAAACTTTTTCTTATTCTCAACAAAATTTGTTGATAACATCTCACCCACTCTCTCATTTGCTCTCTTTACATTGCTTCACCACTCTCTTTTTCTCCATATACTCTTCCCTCCTTGCATCACTTCTACTTTGTAAAAACTTCTCATATGCTAACTTTTTCTCCCTTACTACTCTCTTTACATCATCGCTCCTCTTCCCTCCCGCACCCACTTTCCTGTAACCACAAACTTCTGCTGAACACTAACACTACATTTTTAAAAACCTACCCCATACCTCTTCGACCCCATTGCCTATGCTCTCATTAACCCATTTATCCTCCAATAGCTGTTTATATATTACCCTAACTGCCTCCTCTTTTAGTTTATAAACCTTCACCTCTCTCTTCCCTGATGCTTCTATTTTCCTTGTATCCCATCTACCTTTTACTCTCAGTGTAGCTACAACTAGAAAGTGATCTGATATATCTGTGGCCCCTCTATAAACATGTACATCCTGAAGTCTACTCAACAGTCTTTTATCTACCAATACATAATCCAACAAACTACTGTCATTTCGCCCTACATCATATCTTGAATACTTATTTATCCTCTTTTTCTTAAAATATGTATTACCTATAACTAAACCCCTTTCTGTACAAAGTTCAATCAAAGGGCTCCCATTATCATTTACACCTGGCACTCCAAACTTACCTACCACACCCTCTCTAAAAGTTTCTCCTACTTTAGCATTCAGGTCCCCTACCACAATTACTCTCTCACTTGGTTCAAAGGCTCCTATACATTCATTTAACATCTCCCAAAATCTCTCTCTCCTCTACATTCCTCTCTTCTCCAAGTGCATACACGCTTATTATGACCCACTTTTCGCATCCAACCTTTACTTTAAGCCACATAATTCTTGAATTTACACATTCATATTCTCTTTTCTCCTTCCATAACTGATCCTTCAACATTACTGCTACCCCTTCCTTTGCTCTAACTCTCTCAAATACTCCAGATTTAATCCCATTTATTTCCCCCCACCGAAACTCACCTACTCCCTTCAGCTTTGTTTCGCTTAGGGCCAGGACATCCAACTTCTTTTCATTCATAACATCAGCAATCATCTGTTTCTTGTCATCCGCACTACATCCACGCACATTCAAGCATCCCAGTTTTATAAAGTTTTTCTTCTTCTCTTTTTTAGTAAATGTCTACAGGAGAAGGGGTTACTAGCCCATTGCTCCCGGCATTTTAGTCGCCTCATACAACACGCATGGCTTACGGAGCAAAGATTCTTTTCCACTTCCCTATGGACAATAGAAGAAATAAAGAACAAGAGCTATTTAGAAAAAGGAGAAAAAACCTAGATGTATGTATATATATATATATATGCATGTGCATGTCTGTGAAGTGTGACCAAAGTGTAAGTAGGAGTAGCAAGATATCCCTGTTATCTAGCGTGTTTATGAGACAGAAAAAGAAACCAGCAATCCTACCATCATGCAAAACAGTTACAGGTTTCTGTTTCATAGTCATCTGGAATTCATGTGTAAAGCCTGGGACCATAACTAATGAATAGAGGAAATGTTATTTTAGTAACAAGAATGCCTGCTTTGTTTATTTATAAATTTGTGTGACACTGGCCAAATTACCAGTTTCTGATCACTTTACTGGGTAGTTGAAATAGTCGAGTGATTTCTTGTGCTCAATCGATAAAGTGGAAAACATACTAGTGAAATGGCGAAGAATTTGGTCGACTGGAGCAATCCAATTGGCCTAATGTAGGACTCAAAGTGGGCAGAATCACCAATGCATAAATATTGCTGAAACAGAAAAATTTGTGAAAGTGTAATTTTGCCAATTTCCCATAAAATTTTGTACTTTTCATTTTATTACCATCAGAAGAAGTCTCTCTACCATTTCATAAGAATTTTTTTTTTTAAATCTTGGACAAGCAGACAAGCTTCAGATCAAGGGTCTGGATGGTGAAAGGGTTAGTCAATACTGTGTACCTCACAACCTAATTATCAGTCCCCTTTATTTTATTAATTTATTTATCTTTGCAATTAGTACATTGAGATTTTGTATTTACAATAATGGGTTGCAATGCAGAGAGAGCCTCTATTATGCCTAGACATTATGGGCCGACTTAACATTGGCTTACAGACTACCTAACACTGAACAAAACTGTCAAGTTCTGTCTTCAACTTAGCTATGGTATCACAATGATTACTGTACAATACTTGTACTTGCTGGAAAACCAGGGTAATGTGGCTGTAGTTATTACATTCTTATTTTTCACTATACACTCATAATCCTCACCGGTACAGCAATTTGATGTGTGCGTGAAAATAAAGAGCTTCAAGTACAGGTACTCCTCACTTAACAGCCTA